CAGTTTAAGAGCTCTAAACTGAACTGACTGATAAGACGAGAGCTCTAAACTGACACTGAACTGACTGCCAAGCAATCAGTCAGTCAGTCAGTCTCATCAGTTTGGATTGATTGTTAGCAACTCTGTTTGTAATTATCTCCTAACAAGCTAATTGCCACGACTTGTAGCCATCCAACATGCACACCAGCGTGACAGGCCATCATGTCTCCCTCTCGCCTTACTGTTGTGTTAGTCTACTTGATCTTTCAGCCAGCAAAATAAAGGGTAGAGTAGAAATTTCTTACTATTTAAGAGAGTTAGCTTAATTTGCATCTACGCCTACTCTGAAGTCGCGCGTTATACAGCTGATTGTGTAACAGGAGAATGCATATTCGTCCTCTTTGATAGCATCTATCAATCACAGAATCCGTCCTTGCTCTTCTCGCGCATACTAACAAACATTATGATACGTAAAAACAATATGATTCCGTAAATCTCTTAAGCACAGCACCAGCCAAAAAAATGCATAAAACGAAGTATACGACAAATCCCTTCCCTCCGGTGCGACTAGCAGTGTGCCTTGACACTAGGTATCATTCGATATCACAAGATGGCCATATGAGTACCCCTCCAAGCCATCTATCGGCTGAATGTTCGTAGCCTTCCACCTCAAGGCAAGATCACACTTGAAGGCGAAATCTGCACTTTGAAAGAGAGCACCGTCACAGCAACAACGCCCTGCCGACTGTCGTCACGAACAATTGCCACAATTCTGTCCTGATCCAGTACTGCCCACGAATGCAGCCAAGACAGCACAATACACCGCCATTGCAGCAAAGAGCTCGTGACGGTTCACTCCCAAGATAAGAACCATTACCACTGCAAACAAACAAGTGAAACCGACGAAAATAGCAGGTACACTAACCGTTGATTGCTCCTCAGCGCCGACTTTTGTTCGGTACAAGACAACGGGTGGTAGGACCAGAAGAGCAAGCATTAGGCCTGTGGTAATGATGTTGACGAGGATTTCGATGCGTCGAGCCGAGTAATAATAGATCAACTTGTCATCTGTGCGATCCTGTAGCTCAGTTGTACGGAAGATGTTCTGGAATAGTGTGAATCAACAAGGAGCCAGCTTTGAGGAAGATATTGTCAAACTCACGCGGATTGGACGACAGTTGAGAATCTCAATCGTCTGCTCGATGAATCCATGGAATCTTGTCCATTGACGGCCATGTCGCAGACTGACGATATCTTCCCGTTGCTTGATGTATGACTCCTCCTTCTCGCTGGCCAACGGTCTCTCGTTGTGGAACCAATTTCTCACACTGATGTAGTCCCTATCAGTGGGTTGTTGAAGTGCGTTCAATGCGTGGCTCTTAAGCAGCAACTCGTCTTATTGAGTCAGCCAGGTTAATTCACTACCTGCTGCTTTGAACTTACCGTAGTGTACCAGTTTCCCGCGGATCAAGTTGACTAGTTTGGTCCGCTTTCTGCGAATGCCTTCTTGTTTGGCTTGACGATGATCGATTTCGATAGACTGCAATATATCTTGTTTTCCATTGCTGTAATCCATCTCATCCATCGATGTCAAGTCGCTTTCGAGGCATTGTATCTCGTGTTGGAGTTCCAACAATACTCGTGAGTGGAGATATTTGAATTTGCGATAAAGCGAAAAGCTGGGCTCGCTTGACTCGAAAGCTGCAAGTCGTGGATAGCCTCGCACATACTCTTCGACTAGAATCCACTTTAGAATTGGGTGCCACTTGCAAAGACTGGGTCTTACGTTTTTTGGTTTCGGTTTCGGTAACAAATGACTTCTTGAAGCTTGCTCCCATGGACGACTGAGCTGAAAAATCTCAGTACTTACATATGCGACCAAACTTATGGAGAAGATTTACTTTGTTCGTAAGACGTTCTTACATACTGTGTCGGTTCGTCTATCTGTACAATGGGGCCTATGTGCGAACGTGAGCCAGGACTATATGTCTGGGCAGATGCCGACAATGACTCAGCGACATATGAACAAGGCACAGCCATTTTTGTATCGTGTAATGAAGGACTGTAAGTTAAATCTCGGAGGGTTGCCATGATGTTCATCTTTTATGCATGCAAGCGCGTTGTGGCAGGCAGTAAGACACCTGCTGCATGCGCACCTCTCGAGGACCAATCAGATTGACGGCCTCTCAGATCGCAAATCCTTCTCGGAAAACCAAGCCCCATTCCCGTAAGGTACATTCTGGAGGCTGCATAGCTGATACACCCATCTTCCTTGTTCCTTGTCATAGCTTTTCCGGTCAATCTTGAAATCGTCCCACCATGAACCACGACTGCTTTGCACCACTATGGCAACAGTGTCGCCTTCTGCATACAGATTTTCTCTCTCAACTTATCGTCAGAAAGCGTGCTGTTCTTTAAGTGGTCTTTTCTTACAACGGTCAACCCGCTGCTCAGCTTCACCCAGCCTTTCTCTGGGTATTCGTCGACATCCTAATGCCTGTAAGTCTACACCGCAAGGCGACATGATCAATGCTTCCGTTCACCTTCGTTGTACCTGACATTCTAGGGTCAAAACCTCTAAATTCTTGGGTCGGGAAGTGCGCGTTTCGAATTCGAGGACAACGTGGGCAGGAGAATGTAGAATGAGGCAAGACTTCGCGAGGCGAATGAACACCAAAGTTTGGTGGCTTTTGTGTGTTGGAAGCAACCGCGCCCCATCATGCGCGATAATCAGCCTGTATGGTCTGGAGCGATAAGTCTGCAGCTTTCACCGGCATAAGTGGGTCACCAATAAAGAGTTGTAGTCCAATCGTTCGAGTCTCATTCATTATACGAGCACGGCTGGAAAGGCTGTAGCATGCTTACTCCGAGGACCAGAGCGGGGTAGTTTCGCCTTTCACCTGTTGCTGAAGTCTACCCCAACTACCATCTTTTCTAAATTATCTTCTGGAATCGATGATACAGGGACGGAAGCAACATAAACGCGTATTCAACGGGCTAAAATGGCAACAAGCAGATATACTAAGGTAGCTGCACTTATAATTCGTTGGACTGAAGAGCTAGATTTACAGGCTGAGGGACACACTAACGAGGTAGACTATCCACGAACACCACGCTTGACGTTTTGCTATGCTAACAAGCCTACAGATTGATAAACTTATTAAAGCTTTCGAGCGATTCAAGTTTGCTGACTTTCATTGTAAAGTCGTCCGTCTGACGAATAAGAGAAAGCCTCAAGGGCAGCTCGAGAGAGCCATCTCCGAGCATATCGATGACCATGATGGCTCTCGAAGCCTTCTGATTGTCTACTACACTGGGCATGGTATGGGGTTGGCGGAAGATAAACTGGGCCTTGCAGCGTAAGCACGATGTCTCATCATGCCTTGGAACTTACTGAAGCGTGCTAGGTTGGGGCTTATGACGACAGCGACAGAGCTCCATGATCCAATAGCTCGATGGGATGATGCAGAGAGGCCTCTTATTAAGACCGCCGATGCTGATGTGTTGACCATACTCGATTGCTGTTATTCGTCAAACGCAGTAAAGGCAGTAACGAACGATCCACGAGTGTACGAACTCTTAGCTGCATGCCCTTTCAACGAGAAAACCTGGGGACCGTCACCAACATCATTAACAACAGCACTGACCACAGCTCTTAATCACCTGCTTGATAAACATGGCCAAGAAGGTTTCGCTGTTCGTGCCTTGATACAGCACATTCTGATGATTCGAATGAAGCCTGTAGCAATGTATTGGGATCGCCTGGGCACATATCAACGCTCGATCATCTTGGCCCCAGGTCCCGATTTTAGTAAACCAATACACGATAGCAAACTTGAACTCAAGGATGTCACCGTATCGGAAGGAAAAGGATCTAGAGATGCGGAAGGAGGTCAGAAGACGAAGACGAACGAACCCCAGGCTGATGTACAGGGTTCGAGCGAGAGATCTCGACAAGATGATGTGCATGACATGAAAGGGGAGGATTTGCACGAAACTTCTCAATTAAGCGAAGAACATTTGAATCCTGCTGCATCAAAGAGTGAAGGTGGTCACTTATACTCTGAAGCTCATGAACAAGCACATGATGCCGAGGCAGACGATTCACGACATGATAGAGATCGAGGAGGGATCGCGACCACTGAAACTAGAGAAACTAACACATCAGGCAGCCTCGTTGCCAGTTTTGGCTCCCCATTACCTGGTCTAGACGATGGTGACCTTCAGAGGCGAAGCTGGTTTCAAGACAAAGTAGACACGGTGATTGGAAAGGCTAATGGATATCTACACGTTGCAGTCTTGATGATTCGCTGGCATGAGAGTATCGACGACTTCGCGGGACACACCGAAGAGGTATGGTCATGGCAACTAGATGCGAACTCGAATAATGTAGTGGCTGACGACACACACAGGTTGACCGACTTCAGACAATATTCCGCGACCAATTCAATTACGATTGTAGTGTAGTCGAAATCACTACATCACGTAAACCTCAATTGCAATTCAACCACGCAATCTCCGATTTCATTGTCAACCACGACGGGCCGGACAACCTCTTGATTATCTATTATACAGGCCACGGGGTCTCGAAAGTCTCACAAGACGAGCCGGCGCAATTGGTACTCTGCCCGTAAGTGGTGCACACAGCTATGAGATACTTGCCCTAACCTATGAGCCAGAAACCAGCAGTCTGGCAGGACGAGGGAAGGGGCTTTGGAGGTTCGTTGGGATATTGCAGAAGCTCTTCTTCTCGATGATGATACTGAAAGCGATGTCATAACAATTCTAGATTGTTCTTTCGCGAGCACTGCCGCTATGAAGGCAGAAAAGAAGTCGGCTAGGGCGTACCAGCTGATTGCAGCTTCAGCCGTCCAGTCACCCGCTCGTGGACCAGGCCGACAATCATTCTCAACTTCTCTAGCCAACAGTCTGGAAGAGCTCCTCCAAGAATCTAAGAGGGAGGGCTTCCCGCTCACAAAGCTGCTCGAAACGATAAACATGAAGAGTGAAAGGCACGAGTCGCCTGCTATGCTCTGGGATCGCCTTCACACCTTTGGGCATTCTATTTATCTGGCGCCTATACCCAAAGAGAGAAGGTCGAAGAATGCTATCACGTTACGAACTGGAGAGCCAGAGACTGGAGCACTGATACTCCGTTTTTCCTTGAAGGATACCACACATGGCCTTACGCTCAAGCAGATAGAGGCACTGGCCCGACAACTACCCAAGGCTTGCATCGACGCCAATGTACCACTCAGACGAATCGAATGGCTCAAATATATAAGCCGTGAGGATCTGCATGCGGGAGGCTTTCGAGAAGCCGTAAGGACGACTATGCTAGCCAGAGCAGTTTGCCGCAAGTGGAGAAGCCACGTAAAAGCTCGCCGACAGCAACGCGACAAGACCAGAGCGCAGACCGAGAACGCGCCAGAGCTGACTGATAGCAAGAGAAAACGCTCCGAAACACTGCAATCACCCCTTCCCCCATCGAAGCAAGCCAGATACGAAGTAGGATTTGGAAGCCACCTAAGTACGCCGAGCGCATCCGACTTAGAAGACGCGTCCGACTCAGAAGACGCGTATGGAGAGTTCATACCTGATAGAAAGAACTAGTCTTATTGACTTGGTGTTGTTGAAGCAACGTAAGATAAACGTCAAATATCTTAGTTCGTATACACTTATATCTTGTGATTCACTCAGCGGTCCACTGCAAGTGTTTGACGATGATTTGTTTCGAGCCACGATGCACCCCTAAAACTACCTACTCCTTCACCTTGATGACAACCTTTCCAAAATGTCCTCCGCTAAACAAATACTTCAGTGCTTGATCCGCCTCCTCAAATTTCCAAACACGATCGACGACTGGTCTAATCTTCTTCTCATCATAAAACTTGAGCATTCTTTCAAGCTCAGTCCTAGGGCCATTCATGATGCCCTTGAGGGTAACATTCCTCTTCAAGCACAACAGGTTCGTGTTGGTCCTGTCGCCAGCTTCGTCTTGCTTACCGGAAAGGTAGCCGATGCAAGAGATCAAACCACCGAAGCGTACGCACTCAAACGACTTGCGTAGTGTCTGCGCGCCGCCAACTTCAATGATGATGTCAGCGCCCTCGTCGGAGGTGGCAGCAAGGACTGCGTTCTCCCAATCAGGGTTATTGCGGTAGTTGATGGTCGTCTTCGCACCAAGTTTGGATGCGCGCTCGAGCTTCTCGTCGGAGGAGGAGGTGACGATGGCATCGGCACCTGCTGCGGACGCGATTTGAGCTGCAGAAATGCTCACACCGCCAGTACCCTGGCAGACGACTGATTCGCCCTTTCCAATGATCTCGCCATTTGGTCGCATGCAGTTCAAGCTCATCCAAGCGGTCACGGCTGCGATTGGTAAGCAAGCCGCTTCGTCATCGGAGAGATAGTCTGGAATTTTGACAACGCCATAGGTGGGGAAGACGCGGTATTGTGTCAGTACTCCTGGGGCCGGCCCTCCAAGCCCACTTGCAATGTCTGTAGCCTTGATTTGGCCGCTGAGATGTTTCGGCGCAAATGTGCTGATGACCCTGTCGCCTTCCTTGAGCTGGAAAGCTGGGTTCTTGTAAGGGTCTGAAGTGTTGTTGGAAACTGGACCAACAGCAACAACCACGCCGCACATGTCACTAGCCGGAACAATCGCGGGAGGATGATCTACCGACGAGTGGTGGTTGTAGAGGCCCATAGCGACTGTCCACGTTCTTAGCGTTGTTCTAATGACCATCTTAACCCTGCCGCTGGAGTTGGCACGATCAAATCACGGTGTACATACCTTCGGTATCCCTGTAGTTCAGACTAACAGAATGGACTTCAACCAGCACTTCATCCTCTCCAGGAGCCGGGCATTCCGCCTCGTCCATCCTGAGCTTATCGAGCCCGTCCTGGCCCGTGAGCCATTGCTTGATCTTTTGTGGAGGCGTCATCTTTCACGCCGAATGTCGAAGTAGAGTCAAGAGCTTTTGGGGCGCCAAATCTAAGGTCTACAGTTGATGTGGATGCTGTGCTTTTAATGTCCTTGGTCTTGCGCTGCGAAAACAGTCCAGAAATTTCGCTCAACCAATCTCGGCGGTCTTGGGAGAACGGTGGGGTAGGCATCTCGGGCAGCTACGTCCACTTATAAAGACTTTCGCTATGTAAGCTGCAAGCAATGCAGATGGTGGATCTCAAGCAGCGGGCAGAAAATCGCCGAAAGGTGTGGGGATGGGCATTATTTCTATGTGTCGTTGCGATGACGATAGGGTGCTCACGGCTGGTCATTGAGGTGTTGGTGAGGGACGTCACTGCATTGGCCGTCTTCGCCCGATGAGCCGAGGTAGGGTGTTGTCGGAATGTGCGAGCCGATGGCAGCCTGCAACACCAAGACATCTCTCATGAGACTCACGATCGCGCGCAAGAAGCCATCAACAACTTGTACTCATTTCGCATCGCGCGCAGGGACCGCCTGCCAGGGTCAAACTTGGATCTAGCCCTGACGATGCAACACCCCTGATGACGCCGACACCTAGGTCCGATCGATCGACCCCGGAAAGCGGGAAGTTTCAGGGGTACTGTCTGCAACAAGGGAATGACGATGCTGGTGACCAGTAGATCTGGGAACAACATGTAATCGGAACGTCTTATTTTATTATTATATTGAAACCGCGCACGGCCACGGGAAGCGAGTGGGATGTCGTCCCTGCCACGCGACATAGCGCGTGTGGGATGAGCAGAGAGCATGACGACATGTACTGTTGTGATATAAACGCGACGCGGTCCTTCAGAAATATGCCAACAACACATCAATAGCCACACATTCATTCATAGCAACGCATCGCATCACCTTCTCAACGACATGGAGCACCAACAACACTACTTTGCGGGCCAGGAAGCCTTCCCTCCTCCACTTCCCAACCACCTCTGCCCTAGTTACTCTCCCGCTCTCACCACGATGGAGCAATTCACTGCGGACCTTTTGCGCATGGACGAAGAACATCTCAAGCATCGCAAGCCATCTACACCTGGAATCCCATCTACACCTGAAACCCCATCTACACCCGAAGTCCCATCACCATCAGAAATCCCATCTGTACCCGAAGTCCCATCACCATCGAGAAAACCATCAGAAATCACATTTTTTCCCGACGATGAATTACCCAGCGACTACACCATATGGGGCACCATGAGGACCTGGTATCGACGACTCTCCCGACGAAGCAGCCGGGGTAGCGACGTCAGTCTTTGAAAACAAAACATGATATCGTCATGCAGGTACAAGCGTTCGCATAATCGTACGCACTAGTCGCTGTCATCGTCCTTCGCTCTAGGCCGCCCATCAACCCCGTGCGCTATGACCACTACAATCTTGTTCCTGGATCGAACAATGTTGTACGGGCGGCATCAACGACACGGCGCAAGTTGATCAAGTCGCGGCCTAGGCAAGTGCCTACAAGGAAGCCGCGACGCAAAGACTGAGGCATAGGATGCACACCACGATGTCGCCAATCTGGAACTTCTTGCCTCGACCCATACCCTTAGCCTCGCCATCAGCCGCCGCTAGTCGGCTGTTCCGCGATCTCGATAACGATCGCGCGGCTCGGGTGCAAGAATGCCGCGTATGGAGGATCAATGACGTCGACATGTTGATCTTCCTCAGTTGTGATTGACAGATGCCCTTGAGCCTAGACTCGGGCATCGTTGGTTTTTATAGGATCGACGAAATGCGCATCGACCTGCGTTTGGCAGGTGCTCACCTAGGGAGTCGAGCACCTGGCCCATGTTTGGATGACCACAATGCTATATTGAAAGCTCAGACTCTCTACAAAGCCAACGAGTGGTTTAGGAGTTAACAATGATATCCTTGTCGTACATCTACGACACCTAGCTATGCACTGAGCATGCATCGTGTAATAATGTCTAATATTAATTCAACTGTCAAAGAATGCCCATTGATGTTCAGGGGCATCGAACATTTTGACACATCATCTCAAGTACTTTGCCATCGAGACCTAACACGGTGATTTGAAGCTAATGACCATCGTTTGGTGTTGTAGGGCTCAATATTTAGGAACCGCATTTCGTCTTCCAGCGGCGGTGGTAGGAGGTCGAGCTTGATATCCGTGACGTATCGTGCAAGTGTCCAGGTGGCAACACGCATAGGCGACTGAATGGTGGGCGAATTAGTGGAGCGCTTTCAGTACCACAAGTACGTGCCAATGGCAGGATCAGAGCTGCACATGGTGGAACTGGTGAATGCATGTAGCCTTTACTTTGTGACATTCCTGACACGTGAAGCTTCAGTGCAGTGAAAGTCACGATCGCAGGTGGGTCATCGATAAAACGCCAAGACGCTAAACCCGGCCCAACAATCGACAAGCATCACGTCTTCACGCTTTTTCCTCGTCTTACATTACTTAGATTCTCGGCCGCACCTTTCCCCCACATAAATGACAGAGCCTGATCTGATACCTGGAAGATATATGCAGAGAAAGCCGCCAGAATGTCTGGCATCTCGAAACTACTTGTACCCTCTACTTTCTCCTGCTTCTCTGATGTTCATGCAATGTATAACGACAACTACTGCAAACAGCGCCATCCCGAGGCTTCCTGAGTCTTGGAATCGAATTTTGCGATTCATACGTCGGTCTCAGGCCCCGTCGCAATGAATCTGGATGTCTGCTGCATTCTAAGAAGCAGAAAATGAGAACGACGAGCCCAGCTTGCTGCAGTGCAAGCCGTTACCCTAGGTAATGCTCCGGATCCCGACTGAAGAGACTCGCAACAAGAACTGAAGAGACCGCTTGTGTTGAAGCGGGTGCTCTCTAGCCACAGGAGATATGTGTCACCGTCACCTCGTTCAACCCGCAGCGACGGGTGCTACCTTCACTGCCTTGTCCTTGCAATTTTGCACCTCTCGACAGATTGCGTGCCCATGACAACGTCTCAGCTCTAGGGGACATAAAGCGACATTACGCGTCGGACGCTGTTTGTCCGCCTTCCCTGCGCTACGCACACTGGACCCTGAGCTCTGGAGAGATGAAGTTCGAACGTTCATCTAGATACAACGACAACATGCCAGATTGCCAGTTGTGTGCACGAGAACATGATTTTGATCTTATCTTCTTTGTCTTATTGTGACATTGTTAGTTTGGCTTGCGCTTTACCGTCTTGCTCGCTTTGAGAGCGGACGAAAGCCTTGTACAAAGAACACTGACTGACAACTTCAACTTCACACTGTGCGACTTATGTGTCAAAGCGCCAGCTCCGCGCGCCGTATGAGTCTTTCACCTCGGGTCTCAGGGTGGCCACGCGTTCTCGTACTTATTGCCCACGTCCTATCCCTTTAAAAATGTCTCGAAAATTCCAACACACGTTGGCTACCATTCAGGACGCACCTTCAACCACGGTACGCTCGACTACAGCAAAACCACTCGCAAAACACTTCGCCAAGAGTTCGACGCACAACCAAACGAGATCGCAACTCAACCCAGTCGGTCCTCTCATAACCACTACTAAGACACCCAGTTTACGCCAAAACACCGAAACGAGACTGTGCTTGTTCGACATGGCCAAACGACCCACTACAACGCCGCTGGCCCCCGAGACACCACCAAAACAGTTCGAGGCAACGGAAAGGTCTGAGGTAGCGGAGAATCCCACCGATATCGAAGACGCGCCCATCACCACAAACAGCCAGTCCAGTGCCTCGAATACCCCCGCATCAGCTGAAGAGGGGGTCACATCGCCTACAGATGACGTCGAGGATACGTCGCTGGCACTTGAAGAGGACGCCCTCTCCCCAAAAGAGAAGAAGAATAAAAAAGCCACCACGTCAAAGAAGTCAAGCGTAAAAGCTTCCACCCCAAAGAAGAAGGATGGAAAAGCTGTGACCTCGAAAAAGAAGGGTGATGAAGCTTCTGACTCGGAGAAGGGCGACAGTGCAATCGTTCCCGAAGCAAAGGAGAGCAAGCCTCCTGTTGGCGATGGCTTTACGCCCTACAAACACTCTATTGTCATACCAGCCTTTAATCAGTTCTGGGGTGACAGGCCCGTGACCGGTAGTGCTCGGCCCGCTCCTGATCAACCATCTGCTCGTGCGAGCAACGGACAGACTAATCCTCCCTTGTTCGAGAATCGTGGCTATCGATATAAGCGTGGTTCGCAGTTGGTAAAGCACCATTATACTATTGATCCGGCCAACATGGCGAGTCTTCCCATCGATCGTGACCAAGAAGAACTGCTTGCAGTTCGGCTCATCGATATGCGGCTGAATAGAAAAACCTCCGTGCCGAAGCGATCACCAGACGTCTACTGTTATGGAAAGAGACCCAGGGATTGGAACTCCAAGCAAAGCATCAAGGCTCTCAACGATCGTCGCTACCAGGCTATCGATCGTGAGACCATGGATGCACCTTGGACAGAGATTGAGCGAGAGTACCTGGCTCGACTGATCCGCGAAGACCCCGATGCATCCATTTTGGACCTCGCCGAGCGCCACAATGATCGCTTCATGGGCCAAGACTATAAGGAGAGCACCGGTTTTATGAAGGTGAAGGGAGGAAGCTTGTCTATTGGTCGAACAGTGGAGAGCGTTCGCTACCAGTACACAGCGTACAAGCCGTTTTACGATCGTGGCAGGGTACCAATTGTGAGATGGCGCGGCGACAAGTCGGCTGAGGGTATTGCTCTATCGAACCATATTGCGAGTAAATTTGGCAAACCTAGCAAGGCCGACCAACTTGCACATGACAAAGCACACGGTGGTGCCGATGAGAGCGATGATGAGGATGATACATCCAAGAAGACGTCGAAGCACGTGGAAGGGTTGGATGATGACAATGAAAAGTCAGACGCGTCTGATCTTCATCCCGGCGGCAAGCGCTATGCTTCAGATCAGCTTGAAGAGGACGAGCGGCCTGCCAAGTACTCGAGAACCGGCGAGGCCAACCCCTTTGCCGGACAGGACAAGCTCGACGATGTCGAAGAAGAGCTTCTTGAGCTGGCCATACCTTACGATGACGATGGTGGTTCTCCATCTCTACAAGGAGACAGGGATACCAAGGAAGCTGAGGAGGCGGATAGGTACCATGATACGGAGACCCAGGTCGAATCCGACCTTCGTGCTACTCGCGACATGGAGGTAGATGAGAACTACGACGACGACTTGTAGCCAAAAGTCTCGGTAGGAATCAACGCGCTCGAGCGCCGTCTCCCCAAATATCTCGAGACCCTTCAAAGGAGGACTACTGGCATGGATTTTGTCCTCTCGTTACGTCGTATCATTGTGGCATAGATCGCGCAGTGAACTCGGCAGTTTGTAACAGTGCGTATAGCAATGAAATGTTTCTGATCTTATATAAAGCTTGTTAGCATTCCAGTGGGAAGTGTTACATCTCTTATACCTTTCGCTTGTCTTTGCCTTCGATCATTTGTGAGACGTATCTCCCCATGCGCTTGCGTTGTGCGACACAAACGCAAAGACATCCGGAAGATGATGGCAAGTACAATCATGCTATTAGTGGCGCATCGTGTGGCCTTAAGGAGAGCGTTCGTGTTTGAACATCTCAGCGGGATCGGGAAAGAATTACATCAGCTTAACAGTGTTACGGGCGGTGTGGTTTTCGTCATTAGTTCGTATGCGAGGAAAGCGAGTTCACATAAGACGTGGTGTGGATGTGCGGATGAGGTATGTAGGTTGATGTGCTGTTAGAGGAATAAGCTAATGGGAGACAGTGCTGACCAAGGTCCCAAGCTAGGCTTTCCCTGCATGAATTGGTTCTTACCGTAGTCCCTCAGATTGCGACGTCACTTTAAGAACGCGAACTAGACAAGCTACGATTACAACCTCAACGACGGAAGAGAAGACTGGCAAAGGAACAGGTCAAGTCGGCAAGTATGGTAGTTCATTGATGTCGCACGGTTAGGTGCGGGTATTGTGGACCGAACAATCAAGAGAGAGTGTATGTTGTATTAATTGTAGCATCCTAGCTCAACTTATATGAAGGTCATCACACGGCGTTATTAGTAACAAGGTTTACGACAGCACTTGACCTGCGACAATTGATCTTCTACTCCAGCATCGGTACGCTCTGTTTAGGGTAGATCGCTCTTCGCCTGCGGTATCTTACAACACGCTCTTCCTTCTCGTCGAAAGCCCACACGAGCTTCTCTCCGTCCCTTCTTTTGCGCCCGCCCATCATTTATATCACCCCAAACTCATCCTTCCCAAACAGCCAAGCTGGTCGAATCAGCAGCGACCATTGTTAGTCGTGTTAGGGTCCGCACTAAAAACAGAGGCCGTTAGCAATCATTGTCGTTGCACAGCTAGCGATGTGTGTATAGCTACTTACTAGAAATACCAGTCAGCATTAGTGTGCTCGCCGCCACGGTAGCAGCGATCGAGCAGGCCGCTCAGTTCCTTAGCGCAGTCGCCGTTGTTTAGGCTTAATGCGCCTTGGCCCTTCCAGCCCACACCAAGATCCACCCTAATACCACTGCTCCGGCAATTGGCGCAAGCTGACTTGTAACCGCCATTGTTGAAATAACCACCGAGAACACCGTTGTTACACAGGTCTCTGATAGCATTTTTGAAGTCATTCAGGCAGGCATCGGTGGCCCATGCCTGGCCGCCGGAATAACAGCCTTCGGCCATGGCGCCGGTGACTGCTGAAGTCAAGATAATGAGGGAGGTAGAAAACTTCATGTTGAGAACCGGGGTGGAGAAAGAGTTAGGTTTAAGGGCTCTGGTGTTGATGACTTAAGGCTTGAAAGGAGTAAAGAAGGATGAGATCGGGGAGGCGAGCGACTTCTTTTATGCTTCTCACGATTAACTATTGCTAGGACGTGCCGTCCTTGCCATACCTCAATTCAGGCTGATCGCATATCGAGACTGTGGAGTAATCCTGTTCGGTAATGCACCTACGCAGTAAATGGGAGGTGAAAGAAGTGTTAAACGCCTGACTTCCGAACGACCAGTGTGAAAGAGACTAGTCGTCGACAGAGAGACACAGCGATAATTGGAAGAGCAAGTCGGGCGTAGGAAACTCTAGTACGGAATGGTGTGGTTGTGCCGTGAGATACAACTTTCCTGTGTGCAAAGTGTATAGCGTGCAAGTTACCAGTAAGCTAGTAACGGATATTTGGATAGAAACGTATGACTGAGAACTCAAGTAGATGCAGGGCGTAAAATCCTTCCGTACGTCAAAGTGTAGGATCAAATCAAGCTCCGCCCTGCGGGACTCCTTCCCGATCAAGGGCGAAGTTCAGGTTAATAATTCTAGGTCGTATCAGTGACCAAGCCCTAAGAGATGATGGCGAACAATTGAAGCCCTGCCCTTGCAGACCCTAGAAGAGAGATATTTCTAGGAGCAATAGCCTTATATTAAAGCGGTCTCTTGAAGAACCGAATTTGAAAGACGTTGGACGCCTAGAAAGTCGTGATGTTCGAGGCTGCAAATACGAGAGACCTGCTTTATCCGGAAAGGATTGACCCCACAAGAAGCGGAGAGCAAGGATGTCAACAACCAAGCGAGTCTTACCGGTATAGGATGTATCTCCACGAGACGGACCTGCAGATCTTACAAAAATCTATGGTCGGGTCATATGTTCTACCGACCGACCCAGGCAGCGTCCAGCTTTGCACAGCGAGTCCAGTTCTTCTTGGTATACGCGCGCGCGGCCCTCCGAGAAAGACGTCTAGGTCGCACAGGAAGACGGAGATGGTCGTACGATGTTGGAAAGCTTGGTATACCAAGCAATTGTGGAGGAGGACGACGCATGGAGCTGGGCGCCTTATTCGAATCAAACGCAATCAGCTGGAGGCGAGTAAAGTAACGGACAAAGTTTTTCCGACTCTGTGCGCGAAAGTACCATAGCCGAGTAGCTTTAGTCGAGTAGGTCCAGCCTGTGTTGTCGGCGGGATAATGTTTTCAATCGACGCGAATGAACGGCGACCGGACCAGACTACAAAGAACTTATGTGGCTGGTGGACGACTGACACTGGAAGCTGGCGTCGTAATGTTAACGTTTTGGTTCGCCGAGCAGAAGTCGTGAACCTTGGTTCAACATGCCGCTTTCACTAAATGACTCACTGAAGGCTTCGCGCACACAAAAATCATACCCACTTCTTTGATACCGTAACACGATTTCAAGACCTGCAACAATTCGCCATGACGAAACGCAAACCGACGCAGTACAACGCCGAGAACGCGAACGATGCTGAAATTCAGCGGCTCACTGATGAGATTACCATCCTGAAAGCTCAACTCGCGGCCAAGTCAATCCACGACCAGTGGTGCCCACAATACAAGAAAGCGACCACATCCCCCACCACAGGCCAGCCTATCAGGCCAGAGTCTGGTCCGCCACGACTGCAGCCCTACTCAGACCCTCCCAAAGGATGGGTACCTACGGTACTCATCGACTCTCCGTTGCGTAAGGCAAGAGAAAAGAAACACAAAGCAAAACAGGAGATGGTGAAAAACTTCGCCGGAACTGAGTTACCACGGGCAACATGCCCTAAAGAAAAGGAATGGAACGAAGATAACTTTCGGGCAGCAATCCAGCACTGGGACTTTGATTGGTTCAGGAAGAATAGGAATACACCCGAAGCCAGCGACGAAGCAGAAGCTGCACTGTACGATTTGAACAGCGGTTCATACGATGGTTGGGAGGAAAGGGAGAGAGAGCGTCGTGTGGCAGGGGCAGTATTTGGCGGAATGATGAGGATGATGATGGAATATAGGTATTTCAGGTTTGGCCATCCTGATCAGTTTAGAAGTCCACCTGGTACCCCCGGGACGATAACGCTTTACCGCAACCGGAGCTCGCAGGAACTTCCGGCGTGGTTTCTGTCGCACGGATTCAAGATCGAGGATGACACCGTTTTTATTGAGGGAAGTGAGGAGGAACTGGAGAAGCATCGAAAGCGTTGTTCGCGGGGTTAAGGTTATGTTGGAGCGCATAAGAAGGATGACATCTTCTTTGGTGTTGAGATGAGAAACAAAGGGCATACAGCTGAGAGCGCGGTGATATGGCTTAAGAATGAGATGTACCGAATGTTGGCACATACGATAAAAAGCGCAGGGGTACAACAGACTGCGAGGATGTGAAGCTCTGGCCGGCTAGTCACCACGATCCGTAGTGGCATTGGATGGATGTCTTTTGTCCGAGCAAGGAGCTGGAGGATCGCCCGAATGTCTGCTTCTCGCTCACATTCGTCTAGCGCGTCGATCACAACAACACGCGCTAAGACCTAGGAGCCAGCCTGCTTTACTCCCAAGAGTGGCTGCAGGATTAGCTTCTTAAACTAGTGTTTCAGAGCCTTGTCCGCAATTTTCGAGTCTTCGTTAAGCGCCTTCCTTATCCCAGGTACCACGCCTAGCTTATGCGCCACTAGGTCATAGCGATAGTAGTAAAGAACCGTAAGGCGTTGCCGCACTCACCCTCGCCTTTCTTAAAGAAGAAGCTTGCCCCTAGCTGGCCGCGATTAGCAAACAACTGAGCGACCGTCCGCGCAATAGTAGATTTTTCTGTGCCAGCCATGCCGCTCAGCCAGAATATAGGTTTGCTATCCTTGTTCTGCGCCTATGTTGTGATGTCGTCTAGCAGCTTAGTACGTGTGTTCGGAAGGCATCGTGCGTTGTGCTCTTCGTTGCGGGAGTTGTAGCATGCGCCTTGGGCAATGGGTAGTCTGGCCAGGTCTAGCTTTCGATGAAGACTGTGGGCATCTAGAGTTACCAGGTCTAGCTTCTGGTCAACGTCAAGCATTAAATCCCTAGGAGCTGGTTAGTTTCTTTTACTTGCGCATAACAGCTCCGTGTGCAGAAGCTTACGTCTGATCAACCTGGAGCGCCAAACTAAAGGTCTGCTTATACCCTTCTAAGTTTGAAACGATCTTGTCCACCTGCTTGCTAGTGAACGGCCATTGTAGAGCTCGCACGCCAAACCGGCTCATGGTCTTGCGAGTCTTCCCTGGATCCAATTTTACCTTCAGGTCTTTGAGCTCCTGAAGACATTGGCTTAACGAGTCGAATAGGCGATAAGTAGTGGAGAACCGTGCTTTATGCGGTCCCTCTAATAGCTTCTTAATGTCTTTTTGGATACGCTCGATATCGTCAACTTTTCTCTGCACGCGCTCGATATCGTCTTTCGCGTCCTTGACGGCCTTGGAGTACTGGAAGCACAGCGAGCCGATCTTGGGTGTCCCAGCACTCAGGGAGGAACGTTACGCCATAATATCTTACAACAATGGCGTCATATCAGCTCTTACTTTTGCTCGGATCCATGGTGTTGCACGATCTGCACCATCTCTTAGTGCTTGCCCCACCCTACTAACGGCGTGTGGCAATAGTATTGTAATGATCTGATTGGCTGTTCTCTGCAGCAGTCCCTCGCGTAATGGTTTGATGTTCGGGCGAAACACGGATGCGTGGTGCGGAGTGCGGTTAGTTGTAGAGCGGTACGGCTTGCAAGTAGTGCCACCACGGAGTTGATGACACTCCGCAGGGGTGTACAAAAGTCGAGTATGGTTTTCAATAGGCTTAGATCTTCAAAATACTCTGAACTTCATCTTCTAAACCAATTATTTACTGTGTTACCTAGTTAAATCATGGCTGCTTCTTTTCTCGTTGTCGGTGCCACAGGCAATACCGGTCGCAGCGTCGTTGAGACCCTGTCGAACCACCTCAAATCCAGCAAGACCTTTTCCGACTATCGCATCCTCGCTGTGACCCGTTCTGCAAACAGCTCGTCAGCAAAATCACTCGCCAAATTTCCTCACGTCGAGATTGTCGAATACACTTGGACGGAGATTACTACGGAGTGGCTGCGCGAACACAACGTTACTAGAGCCTTCATAGCATCACACAACGAGCCACCACATTTCGCCGACGAGTCAACATTCCACATCGCAGCCCTCGGTGCTGGCGTCAAATACGTTGTGCGCATCTCCACGACAGCCGCAAACGTTACCCCAGACTGCAAGGCTTACTACCCGCGTGCGCACTGGGCGATTGAGGCCATGCTCGATTCACCAGCTTTTGAAAGCATGCACTGGTCTTCTTTGCAGCCAAATGTGTTCTCGCAACTCTACCTTGGCACTGCTGCTGAGCTTATCAAGACTGTCCGTAATGGCGGCAAGCAACATACTTTACGCTTGATGGCAGACGCTGATAGTCCGGTTGGTATCATCGATCCCTCAGAGGTTGGTCCGTTTGCTGCGCATCTCTTGCTCCAGGACGACACTTCTGCGCACAACAAGCGCAGATATGTTCTCAATGGCCCTGAAGATATTACGGGAAACCAGATAGTGGCGATGGTTGAGAAGCACATTGGCGCCAAGGTTGAAGATGTCTCGTTCAAAGATGTCGGGTTCGTAGACGATATGGCTGCTGCGTCGAGCTACTCCAAGAACGTGATTCTTACTATCAAGCATGCTCCAGACACGGCGTGGCAGGGTAAGGCGAAGGCGGAGACGACAAGCAAGGAAGTGCTGGAGATTGCTGCGCCGAAGAAAACACCTACTGAGGTGATGGAGGAGCTTTTACAGTAGCAGGGTCATGTCTGAAAGCAAACGGATAGTAGTATTGAGATGGCGTTGCCTTGTAAGAATCCAATGCGAATATCGAACTACTCAACATCTTGTTTGACCCGTCGCCACATGTTACAAGTGTTAAGAACAAGCTGCCACGCTGGCAGTCAACATATAACCCAGACCAGTCTTAGATCTCAGCAAGCATATCAGTATACATACTGTCAAGTAGACCATGAGCTAAACACGTACCTTGTATATCCTTGGGTAAGAAGCTTGTAGATGGAGAGATTATCTATAGCCGCAAAAGAAGAGCATGAGGCACTGATACGGAGCCCATGCGCGCCGCAACACAGAGACGTTGTGCTATCGAGCGACGGATGAAGACGTTTATAGTTGTAAGGTATAGTACGAAGGCGCGGCCAGAGGTAGATATCTAAAACGGTACGAACGAGAGGGTCTTCTTGATGCGAGATATCTTGTGGGTGGTGACGATGGTTCGCTCGTGCATTTGCCTCCATGTGCGGCTCGCCGTCTCGGACACTAACCCTTGTCAGTTGAATCAATTGCAACAGAACGGAGTCTCGAGTGATCGTCTCGACACGTACATTGAAGAGTACAAGAGGCAAGTAGTAGACGAGGCAGAGCCCTACACACCCGTACCGAGGAGACTACAAATACCCAAGACTGAAAGACAGTTGAAGTGAAGTGAGGCGCTAGTCGCCTGGTCCATGATAAACTCCGGCAAAAAGAGGGACGTTTTGACCGATAGGCGATGAAGGTGGTATCGTTCCCGGTTTCCTGTAATAGAAGGTATCTCGTATATGTACTCATGACGTGGGCGTAAGGGATTGGTAGGCCAAGGAGCTGGGGAGATGCGCGTTGCTGCTGATGGGTTTCCGTGTCCGACATCGGTAATGGTACTGGCAGTGAGATGTGTGTACAAGTTATGAGTAGAGACTAGGGCGTTGGGAAACTCTTCGAAGGAAGCATTAGACCTTCTCTTCAGTCTTGCCCGGAAGGAGGAGGCTATAGTCAGTCTCCAGGCTTTGCGATGATGGGTATCGACTGTCCAACGAAGCTGTGTCGTTGCCGTTCCACCAGTCAAGAGCTTGAGCCGAAGCCCGAAGAAATCCCCAAACCGTGATAAAGTTGGCCTGACGCACGAATCTGGATAGAACCCCATGGCCCAGTGAGAGAACCCACAGGTTTTTTGTATTGAAGAAGACATTGGAGTTGAAGATCGCAAACATGAAGTGTAAATCCGTTGTATGGCCTTGGTTGACCATGAGCATGATCCCATAGTTGAAGCAGCCACCAATCAAAGAAAATGAATAAAAATCCAGGACCATAAAGAGCGAGCCTAGCCAGGGCCCTCGTTTAAATCCACCCGTTTCGGTGTAAGATGCCGCATAACAGTATACACTTGGATGGCGAGAGACATTGAAGGTGAGATTAATGTCGGCAAGCAACAAGTCCAACGGGTAGTTACGAAAGTGCTCCATGCCTTTCGCCACAATATATTGCCGACGGTACTCCAGCTCCGACAGAACGAAGAAAGCAAGCGCGAAGTGAACTGCATGATGTTGAATTCCAGTGTTGTCAAAACTTGGTTCAGCGGCCTTGCCGAGAGCGGTCGCAGCTTTGTCAAGATACAATAGCATGACAGCTGTGATGGAGCAATACATCTGCGACGCGGGAACACCTGGTGGCCCAAACTGGGTAGCGAGCGAAACGATGAGACCGATATAAGGCGCGCCGCCCCAGATCATGGCTGTAGGGAAAGGTGTTTCCGTAATGAGATTGGAGATGTAGACTGTCAATACGCACAGCGAGAAGTGCGCTGCGTAGCGACGCCATGAAACTCGTTCCCATTCCATGTCCATCATAGCTCCGAATTGCCGGTAGGTGAGTGGGGCTTTCCGCGCATTTACTTTATTGGTAACTGAATCGATGTGAAGCTGGTGAGTTTGCGAGACGATGTGAAAAAAACGTATCTGAGGAGAAAAGGTGTTAGTTTGCGGATAATTAGGAGACTAACGAAGACGAAGGGTACTTACGGTAAGGGAGTTGACGGTACCATGGTAGCTTGATAACCTGATGCCAACACGGTAGCCATGACCCTGAATCTTACGCTTACAAGCAAGACTGGCCGCGCTTAGCCCTTCCTCGCTCCGATAGCACCAGGACACTGGCTTGTGCCGAGCCTCACATCGACTGCGCCTCGATACATTTCAACGCTCATCTTCGCTTCCTCTTTTGTCACAGTACAAGCTGCGTGCAGTCGTTTAAAAGCAGAAATTTAGGAAGAATCTGGTTGCTTCTGAACTACGACTAGAGCATCGTCTCCGTTGGATAGTCATACCTATCACAGATACCACCAAAGTCAACAGAGTCAACGTCCTATTAGAGATGCACGACTTGGTGTATTAGGAATCCTGGCCGTTTGCTTCCAAGCATCGTGAAGTTATATGTTGTGTCTGCCAGCGTTGCTGCTGTTAATAGGTTTGGATCAAAGTTGCTGTCGCATCGCACCTGCAAGAATTATATCTTCGTACGAAGATACAGAGAATGCCACATCTAAGCCCGTCTGGACCACTTGTAAGCTTCCGGGTGTATGGTACGCGCAGCGCGATAGCTGATAGCTCGACGCATCCGCAACACGGGATGATGTCATAGCGTGCTATAAACGTCAACGTCATTTCTTCTCAGCCTTTCATCCCTACGTCCGGGCACTGTGCGCAAAAGCAAATTCACCCGCCTGAACGGACAGCAATTCGTCCATATGCACACAGATAAATAGGCAGAAGATTCGATGAGTGACAAGTCATTAAAGCCATTAAGCTATGATACAGGGACTGCTACTGGAACAGCAAGCTGGTTAACACAGTAACCTTGAAATACCTTCCGCAGAACACCTGATGCACCATGAACGCCTCACTAAATCATCTCCGTAATGCCTTACTCCAGTCTTCAGGCACTGCCGATGTCTTTCCTGTACGTTGTATTATCCGGCCAAATTTGCCTTCTTCAAAAACTTTTCCGTCCTGAATTGTGCAAAGTAGCTCGAAAGCTGGCTCTGCCCACACGTGTCGTACTTCCCTTCAAAACGCTCACTCTGAAGACTTGTTATGTGGCCGAACTGTTTCTTCTTCGTCCACCAATATCAGCTTCCCAAGTGCATCTCCCGCATGCTCTCGTACGCTCTCACTTTGCTGATTTCTTGCCCGCATTCTTCTTCTGCTGTTTTGGCTTCGTTACTCCAGCTTTCTTCGCCATCTTTCCTTTCTTTCCCGCCTTCGCCGCGCGGTTCCTCGCCAAACGATCAGCCTTGATTTTGGCCTTCCTCACCGGATCATGGTTGTGACATCTCCACGTCCGGCGGTCTTCGTTCTCGTTGTCTGCATGTCGCTTGCATCGCGAGTTTGTCTCCTTCGACCACTCAGTGCACCGGACAGTTCCCGTCTCTAGTACGAAGTCATCTGGGCCTTGGCGGGTCGCTGGCTGGGCTGCTGGCCGGGCCGCTCCCGAGTCCTCGTCGTCTTCGTCGTCTTCAGTGTTGTCTTCGGCGTCCCCTTCCTCATCCGCGTCAGCATCGGCACCAGGCATCTCATCCCCATCTGCTGGGCCGTGGTCCGATGTGGCTGCCGTGTCATTGACAGGACCGGGTGCGACGGTGGGATTGGAATACATGTCGACGTCCACGTCGCCATTGTTACCGACATCTTGTGCGGAACCAGCCTGGGTAGCATCTCCGCTGAATTCAGGAAACTGGTTACGAGCGGCGTCTTGGAGGAATGCCCAGAGTTCAGGCCACAACTTTGGATCATACAAGTATGTGTCGAAGCCAAGGCGTTCGCGAATCTGACGATAATCTTGTAACATATCAGGCGTAACTTGAACGCTGTCGAAACTCGGTACAGAGTCTTCGTTGACAACTGCTAGACTCTTCTGTCGAAGGGCCCACATGACGGATCCAGATAGCTCGTCGCGCTTGTCGAAAAAGGCCTGGGTGCCTTTCACAACACCATTACCTGTCTCGCTCGGGTAATCGCGGGTCGCAGCGTCGGTGGACTTGAAGTAATTGCGGTAACCAATAAACTGAGCCGCGTCGTCGATAAGATGGCGGGGGGTGACGGGCAGACATGCAACGGCAAGGAGCAGTTCACTCTGCAGTTGGATGTAAAGATACTCGGTACGGCTCCAGTCACCCAGCGGGATGCGTTTGAGCTGGGATGCTGCAGGACCTGCGCCGTGGTCGGCCATGACGATTTTGTCTTTTGGTAGTCTGCAGTTGTGCAGAGGGTCGAGCGCAAGAGTCGCAGTCTGGGCTTGAGCTTGGAACTTCAGCGCGGGGTGGAATTCGCGGATATACTTGTCGGCTTTGGGCACTTGTATAATTCTAATCAAGAAGTGTGATATAGAGACACTCTGTGCCAAATGGTTGGAGGAGTCTTCGTGGGATATATGTGGGCGCGGATTGGGAAAGTGATAGATCTCTGCCGCTAGGCTGATCAAGGTATAATCATATTTTTCTCGAGTGAATTGGATGCAATGTTTACTACCTGACTTTCACTTCCATGCTAAATAAATCATCTTCCATCGAGACGCGTTTTATCTCCACCAGGTATGTTCACTTTGCTGCGCCAGCAGGCTATCAAACTGCCGCCGGTGCAACTCCTCCTTCAGGGTCTTGGGATATCATGTCCTGATAGTGACGAATGATTGCGTTATCATCGAGATTCTCACGGAAATGGCCCAGCAGTTCAGGTACTGATGCCACCTCAGTAGACTTGAGCTCCTCTTGTAAGCGAAACCGTAAAGCTTCCGCGCGACTGAAAAGCGTTGCCTCTTTTATGCGATTCTTGTATTTGGGCACGATAGCTTCCTTGTCGAACCCCCTCTCAAACCACCTCATTACCTGCACTTCACCGACCGTGATGCAGCCTCCTTCGTCCCGCCTCAGCTCGGCTAATAGCTTCTTCGCTTTCCGCATATTAGGATTCGCCTCATCATAAAGCAATTGGTATTTTGCCTTGATTTCAGTGTCATCCATGACATTCACCGAAATCCAATGTTTGATCATATCTTCTGTGACTTCTGGAAGCTCGCCAATTTCCTTCTTGCATGCTCGATGTACCATCTTAGCAAGTGGACGGAATCTGTTGTAGTCGTCGGCCGACCCACAATAAATTCGCTTGATGAGCCAGTGTGTATGGTGGGCGTCAAGACATTGCTGTGTTGTCGAGACTTTCCATGCTGGTACGTAACCAAATTCCTTCCTGAGTTTCTTCGTGAGCGATTCGGCTCTGGTGTCGCTCATGGTTCAAAGATGGGAAGCTTGTGCAGTGTTAGATCCAGATGATGTGCGTAGCTTTTAAGGACGCTTGTGTTTGCTGTAAATAGTCATTCGCAGTTTTCCTTGCTTTCCGCATGCTATCATCAATCTTCAAAGCCCAAAGAAGCAATCTTGGAACATGGTGAATCATCTCTTGGAGTCTGCTGCCTCGTTAGATTCAAACACCGAGCAAACTCTTTGATATGCAGTGATGTCGCACTCTCTCACAATCACAGTCTTTAAGGGTTGATGAGATACATTACTCATGCCTCTTCAACGTAACATAAGCATACAACCAAGGAGCAGAAATTGATTTTGGGGGACCGTAGTGGACCAACGTACAAAGCAGGTGCTACCAGAGAGGCCAGTTGGTCTCTCCTTCAAGCGAAACTACTGGTCGTGCACATCATCTACGGCTTGAAGATGTCGACTTCGGATCAATGAAATCGTTTGTTCGTATCTGATTGCGTATTATTTGCCTATCGCAAGGCGTCGACTGGACTTCCCGACGCATACGCGAGTAGGCAAGCTGGAAGCCGTCGATGCGAACGGAAAGTAAGGCGATTATCCGGTACTTGACGTGTCGGCGATTCAGCAGATAGTGAACTTCTCAGACACGCTACCTTTCTCTTTCCATTCTCGATGAACGCGACCTTCGTTGACGTCGTAGAGGTAGCATTCGCCTATAAGCCTCCAGAGACCGTTGTCCACAGGCCTGAGAACGAAGGGTACCTCGGCACCGTGTAACATGACCACGACGTCGCCTGGTATCATGGCGTGAGGACCAATGCCTAACATTTCCGTGCTAGTAATGAAAAGGCAACGATCAGTTGCATCACGAGAGCACCTGCTAACGAATCTGTCCGCGCTCGGTACGAAGGAATCGTCTTCGTCATCTACCCATGATCCAGTCGGCGAATAGATGTCTTGGACAAAATCTCTCTTCAAGAATGCGCCGTATTCGCTTGAAAGATTCATAATACGGACAGCATCTAGCGGTAGATACCTTTGGGAGTTGCCAAAGGTGAACGCAAGACACTGTTGGCCATATATGTGCTCCAAGCGGCGAAGCAAGGCTTGAAATGCTTCCAACACGGAACGAACGTCATCGTCGTCGTCGAAATCTAACAAGGTGACATATTCTTTGATTTCTCGGTTTATCGTGTCAACCTTGAAACCTGAGATTTCGATGCACTGAACTCCACCAAGACTCGTTTCTGATACTTGAATATGATCCGAGATATCTTCCTTTTGATAGTCCGTATGTTCAAACCCCGCAAACGAGGATTTGAAGTCTTGATACCAGTCCGGCACCCATGATGGCCAGTCTTCAGCTGACTGTGGAACGGAGCGCATCCAGGAAAGTGGCCTAAAGTCGTGCCACTCAGTGAGAAGTTTTGCTGCAACCCTGCGATAGCATTCCATAGTCGTAATATTATAGTCGGGGTCAATGAAAGATTGACCATCTGCGAGATCGCACTCGAATGTTTTCAACCCCAGTAGCCCGTAGATTCTGTCCTTTGGCTCACCGAATATGAAGCCGCTGGTTAATGCAATCAAATTGAAAAGAGATTGCCGTAGACCACGGGAGCGACGTGCATTGCTCCACACCGAAGAGAGAGATTGGCAATAGCCCATTTCTAGGCTTAACCTGGAAGCATCTATGTCGATGACACAGTAAACCGCGATACCCAGCCAATCAAAGTCGATTTCACTGTGACCCCAAAACACTGACGCCGAAGTGCTTAATGCCACTTCCTGGACTACCCATCCCCGACTAAACCAAGGTGAGCTGCAGACAAGTTGCAGAGCATCAATAGCGACATCAGTAACTTCGGAGGACTCCATTTCGCTAACGGTAGTGACGTCTACATCGAGCCACCGATACATTATATTGGGCGTCGGTTTCAGTACATTATCCGAGCCTCCAAATGTACCAAAGCCATTTTCTTCAGATACAAATCGGCATATGGCATTTAAGGAATCCTGGACTATTCGATCATCATCGTGTTGCAGCCACACAAGTACCCGAACAGCTTTTGTGTAGATATAACTCATCAGCCGCACCTGTAGTGTTTTTTCGTCGCCATCGGCTTGGTTTATACACAGTGCATCGGCCCAGAGCGTCCTTGTGGTATTGACGTGTCGGAAGCGCTGAAGAGCCTCGAACAGACTGCGTGTTGTGGTGATGGCGTATCCATTGCAGATAACTGGCTTCCGATCGTTGTGATCGCCCCAGGCGTATGAGATCGCTTCGTAGCGAGGGTCGTCATCATCCAAATGAACTGTTCTTAGGGAACAATTGACAGGTTCGTCCCATGTGCCGGGAGCCAGATCAAGGACCCTGATGCTGCGACCCCGTGGTATTCTGTCATATTGCAGTGGTTGCGCATCTTGTGATGTTGACGGGCTCTCAGCCTGATCGGTAGATTCATGTAAGAGGTTATCGAAGCGTTGCGTGATTACGCTGATGTCATCCATGGCTTTAGTGTGCAAGCTGTGTGGCGCTCATTCGATCCTGGCCGGCTCCAGTCTGTTCGGAGCGGTAGAGAAGCTATGCGTAGGGTGAGAAGATGAGATGGACGACAAACGTCCAGCGTACTTGATCAGGCTGAAGCGACGCGCTGCGCCACCACAACCCCGCACCCATTCAGCAACGTCGGCGTGTTGGCGGTCACTCAGCATCTCATATCAAAGCACCAGAATTCAGCATGACCTCCTCCTTTCGGCGTCGCGCCTCAAGCTTCTTTTCTCTTTGCGCATAATATGCCTCCCTCGCCAGTCTATGTTCCTCCTTCTTGACCTCGTACTCCGCCTTGCGCCTTTCATATTCCCGTTCCTTCTTCTCATCTGACTTTATCTTGTGCTTAATCTGCTTGTGCTCGGCTGACGAGATATGCCATGGGCGCGACAGGACCGTCTGCTTAAACGCAGCGGTTTCGGCCCATGCTCGTGCTTCTTCGTCAGTCGTCGTGATGACTGAGATGCGCTGCAGTTCGAGCTGCTTGTTGCCTCTGAACTCTGATATCGTGCATTTTGCCTTGACGACAGAGCCTATATCTAGTGGCTGATCGTCTACTACGACTTCGAAGATGCCCAATCGGCTGACGATGTTCAGATTGCTGACCTTTGTGTTCGAGGACGTGTCTACGGGGTTCTGCTCAACGGGGGGTATTCGCACGATCTTCAGCTCGATGGTCGCGCCGCTTCCATCATCGATGGTGAGAGCTGTGTATCTGAGATTGATCTCGTCGATGGCTACTACGACCCCGACGATGCGGACATATCGGATGGGGTGGTTGAGGTGGAAGTACAGGCCGCGCTGCGCTGCTCAAGTATCTCAGCAACAGCTATGACACTGATCAGAACTACTACTACCTTGGAACTCCTTCTCAGAACGAAGAGCCTGCACATCTGCAGCTGTAAGCTTCACCCATGTATTGTATGTAGGTGATGCTTTAAAACAATATGCGGGGTATAACCGATAAGGACGCGATGATGCCTGCGTTGACATGTCATATTGTGTTACCAATGCACAAGGTGGGATGAAAGCATAAGAGACGCGACGCGACAGATCGCCACCACTGCGTGATCACGTGCCCATGAAAGGTCTGACTAAGCCGATCCCAGTCCTTCGGAAGATCGGCGCATGTGCAGCTATCCTCATGCACCTCAACACGCGATGGCATCCGATGCAGCCGCTCCCAAGAAGTGTGGCTTGTGCAATTGCAGGGAAGCAATCAAGGCTTTCGCTGCGCACTGCTGACGCCCAGTAACCTCGCCCTACTCTCCACTGCCAGCAAACATGATCGGAAGATGGGCAGCAAGCATCGTTCACAAGGGCCACCCGGCCACTGCAGCCCCATCACACCTCAACACCGCCGTTTTGCCATGATGCCCGAATGTGAGCCTTTGCAAAAAGCAGCTAAGTCGGACCACTTTACCGCGAACTAGACCTCGGTGCCGTCGAGGCTACCAATAGTGCGCCTCCCCACTAGGCCGGCATGAAGCTGTCCATGACGAGCTAGCCCAACATGCAGCAAGCTTGTGGAGCTATCCCAGCTCTCTAGAGGAAGCTTCCAAGGTAATCCGGTCAGTCTTAAGGGCAGGGTAGCAGCCCGGTATGCGCCCGACTGACTGCTGATTTTTGATCTCTCGTCTTTCTGAAGCTGTGCCTTTTCGTCGCAATACTAATCCAGCAGCATATCTCTCTATTCCTTGTTGTTCGTCACTGGAGACCTTGGTCGCACCCGATAGCTCTTTCCGCCAGCCTTTGCGACTACTAGCACTATGATATCCTTTGCGCCATGGAGCCTGGTCGTCGCGACGTTGGCATTGTGTGTCGCTGAACCCATCGCAAAGCCTGAAGCTATACCACAGCAAATCTCGAACAATGCGCCATTCTCCGGCGCCGTATATATCGTAAACCCAGAAGGCCAATCAGTCGTAGCGCAAGATGCAAACTGGTGTCCTTCATCCGCGTCAGTGAGCTGCAGCAATGTCAACCAGCCTAGTTGGTAAGTAGGGTTGCTTGAAGATGGCATAGCTCCTGCTGATCAGACTCAGGTGCTGTCCATCAGGCTACGAATGCGCCGTACCCGGCAACTCCAACGGACTCATTGGCTGCTGTCCAAGCGGAAACCAATGTGGAGGCGCGGTAAACGTCGCACAGGTCACGACCGTAACTGTGTACCCCCAGCAGCAAACGGCAATCGTGTACGCTCAACCGCCTCCCCAAACGACCGTATACCAGAACCCAGCTACAGTGCAAGGCGGCTTCTACGCTACAATCACAATGGACGGACCTGATCTACCCAGAGCGGAGCAAGGAGGATGCGGCACAATATTGATCGTTGCAGGAGCACCGAGGCTGAAAGTGCTAGGTGTAGGCGCTGGCGTTGTCGGACTGTTCCTACACCTAGCCTTGGGCAGGATGTTCCATGGCGCATGAGGAGAGGAACGATGTAAAAAGAGCACGATAAAAGACATGATACATGTTGTAATGATTTACGAATTACGAGTTTACGCAGTACGTTAATGTACTCGGCGCTAGACTACTCGATTTACACAAGGATATAACTACTGGTTTCCCCTCTGCCTGTCCTCCTCATCATTCTTCGGTACACCAACAAACTTGGGTACAGTAACAGCGTTCAAGTGTCGGAAAGCCTGTACAAAACGTTAGCATAACTATCCCAACAAGAACTCCATGTGGAGTGACTTACGTTAGCAATACTGCTATCCGGCAACTTGCCATCCCACTTATCCTCAACCTTTGCAATCTTGCCCTCTGCATCCAAATGGATAGCCACCTCACTCTGAATCAACTGCTCTTTTCCCAGTCCCTTGATCACATATCTTGTCCTCAAATCCATCAGAATAGGGTTCCCCGCATCCTTGACCTGGTGGTTCAAGCGCTCAATCTCGCTGAATGCCGATTGCAGTCCATACCATTGTGCCGAGTACTTGTCGCGGCCCTCAGCGATGGTAATGGGGTCTGTGAAAGTAGCGTCGTCACGCCATAGGCGCAGTTTAGGAAGGGACGGGCGACCGGCGAAGAGGTCGAGGACGGAGCCTACGATTTTGTTTTGTTCTTCTGAGAGCTTGACACCCGGGGCGGTTTTCACGTCTTTGGTTTCGATGTTGAGGTTTCCGGTGGACATTTTTGCGGCTGTGATTTTTGATATGCTGGATGTGAAGGTCGGTTTGGAAATGGTACGTAGGGTTTGGCTTGTGGTTTGTGTTGCGAATGGGCGGATGTAAGATAGCATTGTAGAGGTTTTAGAGCAAGTTGGATGGAACGGTTATTATAGGCATGTATTCTGGCTATGTACTGCACATGAGGCGTTTTCTTATTGTCTGCTTTAGCCAACCACATGTTTTTGGCACTGCGTCATTATGAGACAGATGGTTATAAAGTGGTCTAATGTGGTCTGGGTCACGCAATTTGGGTGTTGATCGATACTGGTGATGGCATTTGTTCGATGCGAAAAAGTCATGACGCAATAGGTCTACTAGGTGAGATTTGCGCCAGGCGATCGTTTCGGGTCGGGGGCTGAGGTACGCGGGTTTTAGCGGGGTAGGGGATGGGTTGTCCCGAGTGCCGGTGGCCGTTAACGTTGAATTCTAGAGATAGTACCTTCTGAACCCTTTTCTGTGTAATTCCATTCTTTGCAGCGCGTTCGCGTTACTAGGTAGCTGTGTCCCAGATATACGCGTCGGCTTGACTGCCCTACCCTGATGTGCACCTTCCTCCTGGCGGTCGCGTTTGCTTGACGCATACGATACTTTCGCATCGCAGAGCGCGGGTTATAAATGTCTTTAGAAGCTCCGTTGAGCTTCTCTATCGGTAGGCCTAGCTATGTAACATAAAGCGCGCGGCACAGCTCAAGCCACAATCTATTTTTGCGCTCTCAATCATGACATGAGGCGTTGCGACCAGCCAGCCAACGTCGCTTGGCCATCACACAAGACGCTTCTTAGATGAAGCAGCTCCTATGAACATGAAATGGGCTAAACTTCGTCCGCCTTCACACCTTAGCTATGTCTTGCTTACGCAGGGCTGATCCTCTTGGACAGGGATGTTCAGCCCCAAGCTACCGAAGAAGGAAATTCTCATTTCGTTACTGTCTGACTGGACGCCTGGTAAAGTGCTAAACGAAAGATGCTATCTAGTTGGAAAGGTTTATGAGACAGCATGATGGCCTGTCGCGTGGAGTCGGCGATTAAGCTACAGCTCACTGATATCTGAGCGCATTCTTGAAGCGCATTTCTAAACTCATTCAGTTCTAATCTCGTTCTCGATTGCTATTGCTACTATCAACTCTGTTTGCCCGTCTTTCCTGACACAACTGCTCTCCAAGTCAGGCATCCTACTCCGCGACCAAGACCAACACGGCCGCACTACGTCCATTACCCGTATGAGCATCACAAATGGCCAGCAGCTCGTCGCCATCAGGCAAATCTAGAGACCAGCGCGTCTTGACACAGACAACAATACACAAACGCAGAACAAGCGCATCAAAATCAGGCGTCGTGTTCAAGTCGCGAACATGGAATGAAACGACGTCGAAGCACCATACCACGTTCAAAACCAGATCAACAACCTCAAACAAGCGAACGACCTCAGATCCTACGAGTTCAGTAACAGCTACAAAGCAACAAAGTCGCTTCGCATCACTATTTATCTCGCTGTTGGCCGTCAGCCCCATGGCTATCGAATACGATGCGGCTGATCAACAAACCATGGAGGCAGCGCAGAGATCATCTGTTAAGGCGACGCAATCAACATCATCCAAGAAGACGCAAGTCCGGCTATCAGGCAGTGTCAGGCCGTCAGAGATCCGTAAAACTAGGTGGAAGCGGTTCAAGTACGAGATGGGGTTGAAGATGAAAAGTACCGGGAGAGGGAAAGCGAAGGATCGACGGCAACGGGCACAAGTCGCGGATATGGAGTTGGAGAACTTGAGAGCGTAGGAGCAGGAGGTCAAAGGGGGAAGCAAAGCAACAGTTGAGGGTCGATGCTATATAATCTACGCATCGTTTGCACCTATTTCGACTGTTAGGTTCTACGTCTATATCTTTAATACCATTCCCAAGTCGGTCATTCTTACTGCTCATGGCCAGCAGTAGCAACACTCAATATCCTCTCTTCCAACCCAGGTACATGTATACATTCGATACCATGCTCCTCCAGCTTCTTCCGCCCCTCGTTCTCGCCAACAAACTTCTCCGGCTCTTTGACCCCTAGATACACCTTTTTAATCTTCTGCTCTCCATTTGCCCCTCTTGTGCGAATGATGCGATCTGCACAGGGCAGGTTGCCACTTAACCGAAGGTTACAAGGCTCCATGGTAGTGTAGATGACAGTGTTTGACGGCAAAGCTTCGCCAACTCGCTCTTCAGGCAGACCATGTGCTTGGGCGAGCTTCAGGAGACAACATTGCTCTGCATGCGTGTTTCCTTCACACTCTAGAGTGTAGCCGCGAGAAAGGATGGCCCCGGTATCTGCATCGACTAACAAGGCGCCAACACGGAAGTTTGATGGTTTTGGTGGTGACTCTTGGGCTTGGTCAAGGGCCAGTCGCATGTATTGTAGATGGTCGTTGGGATCTGCGCCTTGAGCTGGCGGCACCGGGCCGTCCCAGGTACGCACGGGACCTGTATCGTAGTCGACTTGCGCTTGCATTTTGGAGGGTGAAGAAAGTGAAGGTGATGTAATTGGCGTTCTGGCCAAAAGTGACGGTAGGGAGTGGGTCTGACTGTTTAGCTCCGTGTTAAGTCCGGGGATAGCGGTCGGTCGCGTCGCGTTCTCACTCAGGCGTCAACCGTCAGTACTTGCACCAACTTTACATCTACATCATAGCTCAACAATATGGCACGGAAACAGAAGAAAGAACAGACGCCCGAGGAGCACACAGAGGACGACTTTGTAAACAATGACGAGAGCGAAGGCGAGAACGACATGGATGAAGAAGATGGCCCGCCTGCGATCGACCCGTATGAGGTGCTGGGACTCGAGGTGGAAGCTACCGCCGACGAGGTGAAGAAGGCATATCGCAAAATGGCGCTCAAGTGCCACCCGGGTAAGTCTTCTTACTAGACAGGTCAACATGGCATCGCTGAACTTTTCCCAGACAAGGCAGCACCTGATGAGAAAGAAGCCGCCAACAAGGCCTTTCAAGAAATCGCATTCGCATATGCCGTACTCTCAGACGACCGCCGACGCAAGCGCTATGACCTCACGGGCAGCACAGCCGAGACAATGGAGGATGATGATGACTTCAACTGGCTGAAGTTTTACCGGGAGCAGTTCGAGAACGTCGTCAATGAGGAGGCGATCAACAACGTCGCAAATGAATACAAGGGCAGCGAGGAGGAACGCCGCGATCTAGTCAAGGCGTTCAAGAAGGTCAAGGGCAACCTGAACAAAGTGTACGATCTCGTCATGCTGTCCGACATCCTCGAAGACGACGACCGGTTCAGGCAGATCCTAGACGAGGAGATCGAAAACGGAAACGTCAGCTCGTACCCTGCGTACGATGCCGAGACAGACGACACCCGTCAGAAAGCCAAGGATGCGGAGAAGAAGCGGCGCGAAGACTTTGACAAGAAACAAGCCAAGAAGGAAGCATCAGGGGCCACAAACGGCAAGACCAAGGCGAAGCCAAAGGGCAAGAAGAGCGGCACAGACGACATGGCAGGTCTAGCAGCTCTGATACAGGGACGCCAGAAGGCAAGAGCGGGCAACTTCTTCGATTCGCTAGAGGCCAAGTATGCGCCCAAGTCGCGAGGTTCAAAGCGCTCGACGCCCATGGAGGAGCCATCAGAGGAGGCGTTTGAAGCTAATCGCAAGAAACAGAAGAAGAGCGCGAGCTCAAAGAAGAAGGCCAAGGTAGAGAGTGAAGACGAGGAGATGGATCTTGACGAGGAGGATATTGGAGATTCTGAGGAGGAGGAGGAAGAAGAGGAGGTGCCTAAGCCAAAGAAGGCGAAAGCGAAACCTAAAGCACGCGCAACACGGGCAAGGGGACGAGTTTAGTGTTGAAGTTGACCTTGGGAAGCTTTTGCATATGGAGATGGATGGGCGGCGTTTATTGGAGTAATATACCATAACCGCTTGCGTAGCACAGTCTTGGGAGTCAAAAACAGGGTCTGCTTTGCCTGACGATCCTCTGATATAGCCTACGGCGTCTGATAGGGTCTCGGGTCCTCGTTCCAAAAGCTCATCCAGTCTATTCGATGTCTTCATGCTCGTTATCTCTTACTTCATGCGCTGGCAAACTTTTTTTGCACTGGAATCCACCTTCCCAAGTACACTTCTACTTCTTTCACCTCACCGTCTTTTTCTGTATTTGTCCGCGTCCTCTCTCTCCACGACAATCAGCTGTTGCCTTGATCCTAACCCGGTTCACATATAAGCGCTGGAGACAACGTGGAGCAAACGACCAAGATCGTATTCGATACTATTACGACAACAAGGCTCCCTCTTACAGAGAAACTTCCTTTATTAATCGGGAAGTCCTTTGATATTCCATCTTACTAGTCGCTCATACTAGCATTCACTCTGTGTTTCCGCGTTTGATACTACTCTATCTCACCTCTCCTCTTACTCAAACCGCTTCTCGCAAACACCAATCTCTTTCGTCTTCTACACGTCCTGTCAACCTTTTCAACCTTCTGGCTGACTGTTTCACCATCTTACCCAATAAGCTTTTCAAAATAACAGGATGTCGGATATCGCTATGGCTCCTAGGCCGAACACCCCTACAGCGAGGAAGGTGAGCCGGGATTTCGGATGCTAAAGGAGCAAGCAACGATGTACTGACAAAACTAGGGTCCTGTACCTTCGTCTCCAAGCTCAAAAGGCTCTGGGAAAGCACAGCAACAGCGGAAAGTATCTGTTTCTCAAGCTACGAGCACGGCACAGCAACAACGTAAGAACTCGACATCTCGGGATTCGCCAAACGTCGTTGGTCAGCAGCGGCGGGAGAGTACTGCTGCAAAAGGTTCCATCCTGGCAGGCGACAAGAGGAAGGATGAGGTGAGACCAAATATACCAGAAGTTTGAAAGCAGGACTGACACTACTACAGGAACTGTCGCCAACAAAAGTATACCCCCAGGGCAACGCCGAGGCAGCAGACAACGGCACCACTCACCCAC